CCGCCCCCCACCCCCCCCCCCAGAACCTCCCCTCAGTGTCCGTGCTCAGCTGGGAGGCAGCACTACTGCTCAGGTCGCAGCTGCTCTAAGGCTGCCGTGCCAGGCTCCATGCAGCCCTTCTGCCACACAACGAAGCACTATTCCATTTCCAGGAAGAGACCCTGCCCCTGCCCCTGCCCCTACCGCTGTCCGGTGCTGATTAGCAAGACAATCCTCTCCCAACAGCCCAAGCAGGCGTGGTGCCGGTGGCCGGACGTCTGCGGGGGGGCCCGGCGGGTGGGAACTGCTGTTCTCGAGGTCCTGATACATCTTAGAGTCCTCACGGATGAAGGAGGGGAAGACTCCAGCAGGCAGAGTCATCCGGGGGGGGGCAGTTTACTGCTTCAGTGACAGGCTCTGCTCTTGCACCCCAGGATCTGGTCAGAATAACCTCAGTGCTGAGGTCAGCATTCACCTGCTCTTAAGTATCCCTTGGGACCTGACTGGTGCCGAAACAGAGAATTTTCCAGACCACGGGAGGTCAAGATTGTCTAGCAGCATCACCCACGGCTTACTGGGCTCTTAGAAGACATGGAGGGGTAAATTAGAACTAAATAACAGCACAGAGCACTGAGAGCCAGGACTGGGGGCTGTAAAACTTTATGGGACAGCAGGAAACTTGGCCACACCCATGACAAGTGGACATCCGGCTCACTGAAATCATGCCGGACTATGGAGGTTGCTGGATCAGAGAATTCTGGACTAGAGAGGTTCAAACTTTAGTCCTTTATCTTTCCAGAAGCTGGATGAAATCCAAGCAGTTAGGACCAGTTCGAAGGTGACACTCACTCAAACCACTTTCTCGGTAGCTGTGAGGAAGCAAGCTGCTATCCCCACCGCCACCGTCAGCCTCAAGGCAAATGAAACTCTGGCCCCTTCCCAGCCAGCTCCACTGGACAATCGCTGGTATCAAGTAGGACTGAAAAGCTGTCAGGGAGTCCCGTGGTGCCCGGCCCCCCAAGTCTCCTCTCTCTGACCCCCCCAAACAGGGTCAGGGTCTGTGCCACGTTGCGCACCAGCTGCGGCTGTGAGGCACTTACCGTCCTGGAGGTGGGTGGGGCCGAAGGACTCGTGAGCGACACCATTTCCTGAATGGCCAGGCGCAATTTCAGCCGGTGCAGGGGGTTGCTGATGCCGATCTCGCGCTGGATCTCTGTATCGGACAAGGCAGACATGATGGCGCCGCTCTTCACATTGGCTCTGCAGGCTGCAACATACCAGGCGGGCATGCCCACCCACAGCTGGCAACACAGGAAAGCAGAGGGTTTCAGGTGCCCGTCTCCACCCAGACAAGGGGAACAACCGCCATTCCCGAGGCCGAGAGCTCAGACAGTTCCAGGGTGCGTGGCTCCGTCAGCAAAGAGCTCGAGTTGTTCTATGCACTGGCTACTCTAGGGCAGGGGTCTCAGTCACAGGTCCACATGCCCCTGGATGCAGAGGTCTTCCAGGGGCTATATCAACTTATCTAGTCACTTAGCAAGCAGGTGCTAAGTGAGGTGAAATTTAGGGGTGCACAAGACAAATCAGGCTCCGGAGAGGGGTCCATTAAGAGACACTGGTCACAGGTCGGGGATGCGGGTGGGGCTGAGACACAAGGACAGCCCCTTGGATGCTCCACTTTCAAATGGGGGGTGGTAGTTTCCAGGGAAGCTCGCCAGTTTGCTAAATGGGAGGCGTTTCGGTTCCTAACTCACTTACATGCATCTGAGAACTCTGCCCTGTGTGTACAACGAATGAATGATTTCGTTTCCCACTAGCAGAGTCCTAGACTCCCCGGCCAGAGGAGCCTCTGTGATCACAATCCAATCCCCAGTGCAGAGCTCTTAGAGAAACACCCCCGCTGGATCTTAACAGATGGTTGGCGCTAGAGCATCCACCTGGACCCGTGGACAGCTGTTCTAACGGTTAATTACCCTCCTTGCTAACAATTTACACCGTCTGAATTTAGCTTCATCTTCCACCACTGGATCGTGTTCGACTTTTCCCTGCTAGATCGAGGAGCCTGTCACCAAATTTCTCTCTCCGCACGTACATCTTCTAGACGGTAGGCAACTCATCCCTTAAGCCGCCTCTACATAGTCAACTCACCCTTCTAACTGTCTCTCCTCCAGTCCAGCATTATCAAGCCTGATTTCTAATCATGGGTCATCAGTGAAGGCAGCAAGCCCCGAGCCCCATCCCCAGCCCTACCCCTTCTGCTGAGGCCCTGCCCCACACGGTAGGCAAGCCGCCTCTCCCCTTCCTCCCCCACAAGCAGGCAGAGCAGTGCAACACACACACGCCCTCCCACCCAACCCCAGCACATGTGTGGCCCCAGCCTCCTCAGCCCCAGAGCATGGAGTAGGGAGGAATGACAGCACCCCACAATCCTAGAGCAAAGGAAGGGAAGGCAGTGGGTGCGTGTCCACAGCCTCCCCGGCCCCGGAGTACGGGGAGGGTAGGCACTGGGGAGCAACACCACTGTATGGGCAGGCCCAGGCTGGCGGTTTGGGAAGGCAAAACCTTCCCCCACCTAGGATACTGGCCGCCCATGTTTCTAACCCTTCACTCCATCTCATGGCTCTTCTATGATCCCTCTTCATGCAATTTTAAACCCCAGCAGAGGACAAAGAACTTGCAGGTGTCATTCCAACAGCTGGAATCCACGTGCTTTCTCCTTACACGCCTTACTACCCACCTGAGTACACAAAGGAACTGACCGGTGTGCACAGAACAGGGAGCCCCACAGTACAAATACAAGACCCTGCCCGAGTCACACATGTGACGTAGTGGGGGTACTTGCTGGGCTGTGGTGACCCCTGCTGTCTGGAGCAAGACCCAGCAGGGAAAACCTCACGAGGCAGAGGTAATGCCAAACTTGTTGAACCAGTGGCCAGACACCCCCCATGGAGAGGAACAAAGGAAGGTGGAATGCTGCCCTGACTGGGGGGCAGGGCTGCAAGGGAATTTAGTTAGTTACTGTGGGAGAGCATGGAGGAGAGCCTAGGAGAAGGGGCTGGAGTTTAGGGGCCCAGTCTCCCCCATCTCAAGGGGGCCTGAGGCATCCTAGCCCAGCTCTGTGTGCTGGAGGAGCAATAAACCACCCTCAATTCCACTGGCTGGGGGAGGCTGTTTGTGCCATTTCGGGGTGCAGGAGGCGGGGGACCCCCAACGCGCCGTCACAACACACAACGGCTGTGTTCCTGTCTCACGCTGAGCGCATAAACGGGGTTTCAGGTTGCGAAGAAATGACAAACAAAAACCAAACCGAAAAAATCATTTGGGGTCAAACAAAACATTTGCTTCAGCCTGGAATGAATTTGTGGGTGGGTTGTTTTGTTTTCAGGGTTGGCTTTGGGGTTGTTGGGGTTTTTTTTTTACCCCTTTTTAGGTTATTTTCAACAAATCTAGAGACATTTCTAAACAAAATGAAGCTGTTCCTGTAGACAGCATCAAAACAAAAGGTTTCAATGTTTTCATGTCAAAACTATTCATCAAATGCAACCCACATTTGCAAATTTTTTTTGGTTGACTGAAAACTGCCCTTTTCAGCAAGTAAATGATACCTCCCAACACTTTCACCCGGCTCTATTCATGTCAGTGTTAATTTCTCCACCGACTGCCCAGCCTCACCTCCAGCCAAGAGACCACGGTCGGGCCGTCCCACTGAGCAAAGGGCATGCCTTTCCTCCGCGCATCTTCCAAAAGCTCATGTCTGGAAGGAAAAGAGAGAGAGGAGTCAGGCCAGGCTCTCCCCACGCACACCGTATCCACAAAGTCCTGCCGGATCGCTACCCCCCACACCTGCAGGCAGCATGGTGGGAGCCAAGAATGGGACGCTGAAGACAGAGTTATCTGTAAGGCTCAGGTACATGCAGGCAAGCCCAACAGGAGTAAAATGAGCACAGTAGGGACCTGTACTTAGCAAAGCAAAACAGCATCTACCACCCTCAACGGGACTCTCTGGTCCAGCAACATCCATAGTCTGGCAGGATCACACATGTCCCTGGAGCAGAGAGCCCTGGAGCAAGACTAGGGGGCAGTGGGCAGCGCCAGCAGTGTGCCCGCAGCAGCAGGGTCGGGCATCTGCGGCAGCCCCAACTGAGCTGGCAGTAGGAGTCCAGGGTCTGGCCTGGCCAGCCGTTCAGGGGTGCCTGGCCTGGAGCGGAGCCAGCAGCAGGAAAGGGCAGCGGTCTGACGGGCTGGTGACAGGGGACCTTCCCAGTCTGGCAATTTCCCTTGTTCGTGACAGTTCAGTTCCCGAGGGTGCCGGACCAGGGAGGTCCAACCGGAGTAGAGGGAAGGATGGCTCAGGAAAGGAAGTGGCCAGACAGCTCAGCTCAGCAGGACAGGAAGCAGGGGGAGAGGGAGACACTTGGCATTCAGCGGCCGTGAAGGATTTCTAGCCAAGCTGCCAAGCTTAGCCAAGCTGCCATCTTGTAGGGCGCCCTCTTCCCGCCACTTACTTCTTCCGCAGCCGTCGGTCCTTCTCCGCCTGGGCACCCAGCTTGCCAAGCCCTAGCACGTCCTGTAGGCTGAGCTCAGGATCGGTCAGCAGAACTGGGAAAAGAGCACACACGTTTCCAAGTGTGGACCGGCCCTCCTCTCAAGCTGCCAAGCTTAGCCAAGCTGCCATCTTGTAGGGCGCCCTCTTCCCGCCACTTACTTCTTCCGCAGCCGTCGGTCCTTCTCCGCCTGGGCACCCAGCTTGCCAAGCCCTAGCACGTCCTGTAGGCTGAGCTCAGGATCGGTCAGCAGAACTGGGAAAAGAGCACACACGTTTCCAAGTGTGGACCGGCCCTCCTCTGGGCCCCCGCGCCTGCCCCCGAGCGCTCACGGCCACCTGCCCGGTGCTGCGTTGCATGGGCATGCAGCAGAGACGGCAGGTCCCCCGCCCGCGGGGGGGGACTCCAGACGCTAGCTCCCCGTGGGCTCTGGACCCTGCAGTGAGGCCAGCAAAGGGCTTTTCTCATCACGTCACACTGAACTCACGCGGCGCGGAGCACTCCCGGCCCGCTCTGCATTTCAGAGGCCGGTCACAGTGAAACTAGCCCAGCAGCAGTGGAAGGCTTCAGGAAAGCAAGTCCCAGGGCACGAGGGGATTGAATGAGTGGGAGAGGGGGGGGGC